AAAATCTTCCCTCAAAGTTTACTCTCTACGTTTTAAATAGTAATAAGTATACAACTTTTTCGAAAATAGTGAATGTATAAACTGTAAAATAGTGGATTTAACTGCGAAATAGTGAATATCCACTGTTACTACCAAGTTAACATATTATACTATTTAAATTAAATGGTTGACTGAATTGTTGGTACAACTCAAAATAATATATGTGCATATAGGTTACACAATTATCTTCATTTGGATCAAGATAGTTTATTGGATTATTTATAAATATTTAGATTTAAAACTTATATCTACTGGGTGCTACCCAAAAACAACCCTTATTTTTTACTATTTCGCCAGTGAAAATCTCGTTCACTCGTGCAAGTAGTGCAATTTTCATTATTTCAAATTTAGAGAGTAGCCGATGCATAACCCCCCACCCAGTGCGGGAAGTTTTACGTGATGTTACACTCGACCAAGATTGACACGCGCGTCGATAAACATTTTCACGGATAAACATATCGAGCAATTCACTCTCGTCGATCGCATCAGTAGATTGGAAATATAATACATATATTTTTAGACCCGCACTGACGCTCCGTATTATCATGATTGCGCGCCGCTGAGCGCGATCGTATCGGCATTATCGTAATGAAAGCTTATCGATCTGGCATACACGCAAAGGTGATGATAAAAGAGTGAGAGGACAATCGACAAAAACAAGCTTTCTTCTTTCGGGCTGGCGATATACCTTCGGTGACATTTTCAGTTTGTTTACATTTATCGATCGTCCTTGCTCTTTTTTTTTTTTTTTTTTTTTTTTTTTTGCAGCGTTCGCGGTAGTTGGCAAGGAAAGAGGAAATTGAATCGAACGCTAATATTTCTCCCGCTCGAGCAGGGAAGGGGTGGCGTGTACTGGGGTCGGGTTTGATTTATCGGATTTCGTGAAGGCGCGCGTAACGCTTTACTTAGGCTGAAAGGTGTGTACACGGTAAACGAGTTACTTTGCCTTTTTGCCGAAGGATAATTGTCGTCCCTGCAAGGAAAACGACGGATATTGAGTTTTGCGCGTGTACCTGCAATTCGGAATATTGAGGTGAAACAAAAAAAAAAAAGATCTCTCTCTCTCTCTTGGGTCGGTGTGCTTTATGCAAAATGAGCCAGACGAGAGTGGGACGGGCCGAGAGATATGCTCAAAGCGGCGATTCTTCGACCTCCTCGAGGGATGGATGTTGAGTGACGGAGAATGAGATGTATTGTAATGCTTCTGCGCTTGCCCCAGAATCTGAGTAAGAAATTCATTTCGCTTGACAGGGGCCATTGTGGGGTATTGCCCCCCCCCCTCATATTTTTTACACCATAGTTTTCTCTCCTATTTTATTCACGGGTACTTTAAGCTCGGGATGACCGACAAAGTTTCCAAAGTCGAAATGAGTAAATTGTTTGAGCAAATATCACGGAGATTGTTGGAAAAAAAAAAAAAAAAAAAAAAAAAAAAAAAAAAAAAACATATATTCTCGGTAAATCCTCACAAAGCGTTTTGTTTGGAGAAAAAACAGGCCAAGCCTTCCTTTTGACGATCGCCCATCCGTCGACAAAGCTCGTGATTATTTCAACCCCCTCCCCTTTAGTAAAAAGCCAACAACGTCATCGGGGCCTGACAAGCAGTGCAAAGCACATCGTGATTAAAAGAGTATTGTTGTATTAATTTACGTGAAAATTTTGTCCCACACACTATTATGTGCCCAAGACACCCATTTGTACGTACACTTAGCTCTCGAAAACTCATTATTCATGGCGCTTTCTAGATCACCGAGCGCATCAAGCGCTTCACGCGAAATGACAAACGCAAACAGTAAACAGTCTAAGGTTTCCTCGACCAACGCATTAAATATCTGCACACAGTGAGGGAGAGAAAAAAATTGCTAAACGAACCGCGCACGGAAAACAGACATCAGAGACTATCGTTAAAAAAAAAAAAAAAAAAAAAACGCAGAGGGAGTGGGAAACACAACGGCGAGATTTATAAATCAAAGGGCACGTGCATGTGTGCCTCTCGTCGTATAGCACACGTGCCGGATGGAGCGTGGAATCCTCCCACCTATTATTCCTCCTGCCTCTCTTGGCTATTGATTTCCAGCACGTGGCCGACTCTCGAATCGCGCCCTAATAAAGACATTTTTATGTATCAAGGGGGTGATTTCTTCTTTGGACCACATGCACCCGGGGGAGGAAGAAAGATGTACGGCACAAGCTTGAATTTGTCGCTTCTCGAGATTGATAAAAAAAAAAAAAAAAAAAAAAAAAAAAAGGAAAAAAGGTAGAGAAAAAAAAGAAATTGATCATTATCAAGTTTGAAAACGGGCGAACTGTCTCTGAAAACTCGAGTCNATTGTCATGTATGCGTATATACGTCCAGTAAAATAAATCGATATTCCTATATATCCTCCACGTGGTAGTAATGGCAAATGTAGAAAAAAAAAAAAAAAAAAAGGAAAAAAGGTAGAGAAAAAAAAGAAATTGATCATTATCAAGTTTGAAAACGGGCGAACTGTCTCTGAAAACTCGAGTCGCGCTCTTTTCTCCGGTTCGTTGCCCGGTGTTGTTTACGTGTGAGCTGGAAACAACCACGGATAGAGAAAAACTTTCCTTTTATCATATTTGCCATCGAAAAGGTGAAAACTTGCTTTTTCTCCTGGCCCAACCTAGTGTTATATATATATACCTACACGAGTTTATAAATATACACGTAATAATAACCTCCTTTTTTTCCTTCCCCCCTACAGTTCAGTCTGGGGCTGGATATTTCCGGCCAATTTTGGGGGAGGAGTGGAATTTCGGCAACGTCATCCTGGAGATTTTCAAGGTTGATTTTTTTGGGCTATCACGGCAACTGAATCGTGGGGGGATTTTCTTAGTTTTGCAAAAACGTCACTAAAAAGTCTTTGAATTACATTTACATTGGCTTCAATCCAAAAATGTTATTCGCAGCTGATAACTCGTAAATGTTTTCCATACCTTATACATATAACTTGCACCAATGTGGGCACACAAAAGAAAAATAATTTCCACAACTCGTTCGAATACCATATATGTCGTTGCTGGTGGACACACGGAACATTTCTATTTTTAATGTACATATCATAAATACATATGGGCTTATGAATTCGGGAGACACCTCCGAGCACAAGTGTGTTAAATATCTAACTTCCGGGACACGCGGCTTTCCTCTACGTCCAAGGGCAACAACAACAGCATGGATTTCTTCCCAATCCTTGAAAAAAAAAATAATAATAATACAACGCGCTATTCAAACTCGTCGACCCTCACAGTTCCTTTTTTTCCCTGCAAATGTGTACACATAATGTGTGGGTGTGTTTCCTCTCATCCAGTCCCTCTCCCACAAAATTTTACGTATTCAATGTGCTGCACTTATATTATATTCCTACTCCGTCACGTATGCGTACTTTGCATGCTGAACACGCTAAACATCCAAGTATTAAAATTTTGCTTGGTTTACTACCGTGGCTCGACATAAAAATTCATACGGTATGGTTTCGTAGGTTTAGAAAATCCCGAGATTATTCCGTAGCGGTGGTTTTTGCCGTACTTTGAAACCGCCTTTTTCAACCGAGCCAACCACCCCTCGGATGCGCTCAGTGGTCACGTGTAGAGATGTCGTTTGATTTTACTTGGTACCGGAGTCTCGTGTACAAAAAAATACCCAAAGTTAGACGCGCAAACGAGACAATTAGAGGGCGCTTTTTGCAGGAAAATCTGGCATTTTTCAATTGGATGTATTCGAAATTTTTTAAGCAAACGAATAAATGCTTTTGCGTACCTCACAAAATGTTGATCAAACGCAGATTAAAGCACCTTGTTCACGCAAGCGAACACCACCACGTCAACGAGAAAAATTGCATCGTACCATTGTTTCGTGATGTTTTTGACTTTGTTCCAAAACCCGTAAGCCAGAATAACAGCAACAACTTTTAATTCGAAAAGTTAACCTTCTGGACTAAAGTGAGCGGATAAGCGACTGTTTCCCCCTCACTTACGGAGGGTCGGCTAATGTCTCGCAGATACAAATTTCCACAAACAGGTGCGCTCCTTCTCCGCACAATCAGTCTCAAAGTTGGGTGTGTGTCGCGCGGTCGGGATAGGGTCGCTTTCCACTAATGCGAGATAAAAGTTTGAAGGGCTGATTTGACGCATAAATGGGGGTAGGTGGTGATTACGTCAATTTTAGGGGTGTACGGATATTTGCTGTTTCACAAATACACGGGACTTTGCTTTTTTTTTTGTTTTACAACTCAATTAAGGTTATTACAAAAAAAAAAAAAAAAAATTAACAGTTTCGAGGGAAAATTAGAGTTTGCAAAAGTAATTTGATCAAGAGCACAGCAGAAAAAAAAATTTGTCAACACCGTATGCTTTAGTTGTTCAATCAAACACCAAATCCGCATCTACGCGTAAGTATAGGTACAGCCGAGAGACGGAATAATATATGTCCTGGTTCCTATTTTGGGACGGTGCTTAACAGTACTGTTGCAAAATATTCTAGTCCAGAAGCTAAATAATGTAACTTGAGCGCACATACGTAGATATACTATGTAAAGTTGTAAGCCATCGTTAAAAACATTAGTTGTAGGTATAGTTTTCTATCAGAGAGACTAGCACTCGAGTATTTTTCTACCATTAGAGTAGCAGTAGGCACTCCGTCTCTCAAACATCGCACAGAGAGCCCTTGTTAAAGGATGACAAAGGACCATCTCGAGCCTTCTTTAAAAGCAGCCTGATGTACTTTTCATGGTCGAGAATTCAGGAGTAGTTTTCAATCAACTTGGGGTTTTTTTTTAATATAAGTTACGAAAAAACGAAAGTCCTTCGGTCAATATTTTAGGGGATGGCACCTAATGACTCGTGGCCCTTGAAAATTACGATTTCCAAACTGATTGATTTAAAATAAAGTATACATGTGCAAAAGCCTCGTTGTCAAACCATGACATCTTTTGTGTTCGCAGGCGAAGTGATGGACATCCTAGCGCTCATCAACTCGGCGATAAACTTCATCCTCTACTGCGCGATGAGCCGTCAATTCCGCCAGACGTTCAACCAATTGTTCTGCCGTTGGAAGCTGTTTGGCCGTTGGTCGCCGGTGCCCCAACATGCGGAGAACAACAACGGCCACACGACGAATCACACGGTCACTCAGGTCACCCAAGTCTAGCATCGGCCTGCCCGGCGAACGATTTGCTCCTGCTGTCACCTGTAAACACACACACACACAACGGGGCCTCCGCAGGCCATCGAAACAAATCGATTATTAACGATTGCAGAAAAAACGCACAATACGACCTGTATAATACATATGTTATGTATATATATATATATATATATATCGTACACCCCTCGGTGTTATTATCGTGTGTCTATACGTGTAGTGTAAAAAAAATACCTGTGTGTGTATACGTGTGTTGGCTTTGACTCCGTCGTCGATTTTTTTGGATCAGCATCGCTGAATCGGGTTGTACCGCGGTTACGGTCGAGTACTTTATTCTTTAGCACATCCAACGGTGGGAATGGACGTTTTGGTTTTTTGCCGATCCATGATGGTCGCAAGTGCTTCGGATAGATGGATGGGCAAAGTTTCGTCCTTGTACCACGATATATGGTGCCGCACTTGAGTTACCACTCGGACTCGGTAAGCGATGCTGGATGAAAGAAAAACACACGCACGAAAATCGAGATGGAGAACAGGTGCAAAACAGAGTTTGACCCCTTCAGGGACCGGTCGCCGGGCGGGGGATGTTTTTTTTTTTTTTTTTTTGTTTTTTTGTGTACAAACGGCGTAGCAGACGACGAGTCTGTCTGTCTGTCTGTCTCTGTAAATATTTGTCGTTTGTGGGTGAAGTCAAACAAGACGAGACTGTTAGGTCAGCGAATCGGACCATTTTTCTTCCCGAAGTAAAAGCTACATATGCGCGAAAACTTGTTTGAACACCCATTCTATATACCACGGGGTTGACACTACTCGTTTTTGATTTGACAAGTGAAAGTTTGCCGTACAACCTGTAATTATACATATAGATGCATGCTTACCGTAGATAAATAATAACTAACTTAACAACGCGTGCGTCGCGCGGTGTAGCTAGTGTTCGAGTACCAAAAGAGAAAATTCAACAGAGATGCCTTGATTCAATTTCGATCTATAGTTGTAAATGTACATTGTATACATACGCCGAGTGTTCGAGGGGATGAATAACGAATTTATTTTTTTACGCCACAGGGGATGTTAAAATTACTACGAGATAACCCAAGTGTCAAGTATACGTACATTGAAACATTGTCCCACAGCTTGCATCCAATTTTGCAGCCCAACTATACTCTCTGACCTAATGTGTATACATGAATGATAGAGCTAAGAAAAAAACCAAGTCCATCTCTCGAGTGAGATGACGATCAAGTTTTTTTGCGCGCTTCGCTCGCGTGGATATGTATATACACTTACGAAAGCTCTGGAAAATAATGCTTTTTTCCAAACTTTTCTTGATTCGTCGGACACATTTCTCGAAGCTATCGGTTTGGGACCCGAAAAATTTCTCACCCTCGTCTCGATCCCGCTTTCCTCATCGCAAAAGAAGAAGAAAAAAGGAAAAGCTCGACCAAACACACGTACAGGCGATAAGCCACGCGCAAGAATCTCTACTCCACACAAAGCGAGCGCTTATACCTACACTCCTTTTTTTTCTTCTTTTTATTCCTCTCGGTCTCCCAAGCTCTTTGGGTTTTCTCTCTGGGAAGGATTTTTTTTTTTCCTCACATTTGTTTACCCTTTTTGTTTGTACACGCGCAGGCCAACCGCAAGACTGTTTGCTCCGATTGATAAAAATTGGCCCGATACCGTACGACGGAGCTCTGTTTGTTCGTTCCTCTTGGAGGGGCAAAACCACGAAGCGGGTTTCCCGCGGTTATTTATTGGTTAAATTGCTCGATTCGATGCTCCTCCTTCCCATCTTGGCCACTAATTGAATTTTCGCGCAGACTTGCAACAGCACGCCACTCCTCTTCGCTCCAAAGTGAAGAGGGGAAAAGAAAGTTGGCGCACGAAGGGGCCATTTTTACCGCGAAATCCTCGGTTGAGTCCATCGGATGCGCCGAAAGCTACGCATTGCTCGTATTTCGAGCGGCTCCTTTGAGTATATATTTGTACGGAGAAGCAAAGAAAGAGAGAGGATGGGCGCAACTGATTTCTCGGAGCTACACACCGCGTACGTATCCGCACCGACTGCAAAGTTTTGACTTTTGCCGAGAGTGAGCCGGGGGAAAAAGTTTCTCAGTGGGCTCACCTCTTCTCCCTCTCCTCGTCGTTATTGTATTAAAATACGTCTCTTTTCTTCCCCCTCCGTCTCTCAACCGCATCCATTGAGATTCAATCCCCCCCCCCAGGAAACACTTCCCTGTATACACTTGTGTGGCGGAATTTACGAGCCAACGGGCGTGAAAAGTCACCCCCTTTCTTTGCCTTTTTTTTTCCTCCGCGCAGCTCCTTCCGTTCGTTTCCTCTTTCGAGACTCTAACGATAATAATCTGACGCGGGAAATACGGCGCTCCCTCCGTGTGTAACTCCCGCGAATGATTTGTCGTCCCAATGGTGCGACCTCGAACGACGGGGTGAAACAAAATTTTTGCCACACCACCACTGCTGTCCAATAATATTTTCCCTCCAACTGACGACAATACCGTGTAATATATACGAGAGCGCAAAATTACAGCATGGACTTGCGTATAATTATCTACTTCCTTGATAAGGTGTACACCGAATGTATGCAGAGTAGCTCGAGTGGGTTAAAAGTTCTCTTTGAAAGAGACACGTGGGAGTTACAGTTTGGCTAAAAAAACGATCGAGTTTTAATCTGTCGCTCGATAAACAACAACAACAAAGTTTTGGCCCTCGATTGGCGGATATACAAAGCGAAAAGTATTATGGCAAAGGTTGTTTTTTCCTCTCCCTTCTCGTGTTTGCAGGAAACAGAAGCTCAAAGTCGCGATCGCGTTACTGTTTTACGACCGTCCGCAGACTGACCGTATACCAATTTTTTTTTTTTTTTTTTTTTTACTTCACACCCCCAAGAGTCCTGAAAAATAAAAATAAAGAAGCTTTGGGGAATTCAAAGTCAAAGGAATGTACAATGAGCGCAGAAACGGAGGGGACAAAGTTATTAAAGCTCTGCGTGCCCCATCGGAAGTTGTCGAGTAAAAAGTTGGAAGCCAAAGGAAACGGTGCCATTCCACAAGGGATGACCGCATGGATGGGCGTTTTTCTAGTGGGATCGGGAAAGGCGAGATAATTACATAAAAATGTAACCAGCAGAGTGAGTAATAAGTCCTGCCACGGTAACCAGTGCGGCGAACCGTAGGGGGATGGGTAACTTTGGGACGAACGATGCGGCGAATCGTCAGTGGGTGACGTACGTATACGTATAGATCGAGCGTTGCTCGTTAAGCTCGTTAGAAAACGTGGCTTTGATTGTCCGTTTAACCAGGAATGGAATGGAGACGTGTCTTTTTTTTACCCTCGATTCTTCGAACTTTCAGGTAAAATGTTATTTTTGACTCGCGGCGAAGGTTTTGATGAACTAAAACTCGTCGCTCGGGACTGGAATGATGCACATTAATCTTTGAATAGCACGTGAGGATATTGCAAACATCTTGCATATGTATACACATGATGAAACGTGCATTTCTTCCCTCCTCCAAGGAAAAATGGAACTTTTTTTTTTTTTTTCTTTAAATATGGCTATCATCGTAAACGTGTATCAAAAAACACTCGGGTGCGTTTAAAACGATTATAACGCCACGAATTCAATAAAAAAAAAATAATGAAAGACCGAACTTCCTGATGGAGCACGTCTTTTCCGATGGTTCCACTGAAACGTCGAGATTTCCTGTGTTTCGCATTTTTGCGTTCGTTCCTACACACGCGCTTTTAATCGCCGCTCGGAATATACCCCTTCGTTGCAGGCCACTATAATTTATTCACTCGACTTTTTTTATCTCTTTCTCTCTCCCGCTCTTTCTTTCCCCACTGGAATTTTCTCCTTGACTTGATAAGTGTTCCTTTAAGACCCCCCCCCCTCCGCGCAAAGCTTTTGTACTGTGATGTGCACGAGAAAACAGGTTGAATTTCCGAGTTTGTCCCGATGCTTTCTTTTTTCCCCTTTCATTTGGGTTGCGATATTCATAATGCCTCGGAGGGTCGTCCTTTGTTATTAGATTTTTTTGTGAAAAGAACCATTGCACGGGGGACATTTTAATCTTTCAATTTATTCAGAAAATCAAGTTTCTTTATCATTACCAACCATTTAATCCGCGCACTTGTTTTTATGACGCTCTCAAAGCAACGCGGATTATAAATGGGAATGGTTCCACCTTATTTTATTGTTTTCATTTTAAACGATTAAAAAATATATGAAGTACATGGAAAAGTACAATCTCACGTGGAATATCGTTACATTCTTTGGAAAGAAAAAAATTAAAATAAACGCCATGCGATATTCAAACTGTCCACTGGCCACAAATTAAAATCAAGGTGTACTTAATTGTGCAACAGAAGCATCGTATTGGGCTGTGGCTTAAGGGCAGCGGAGAGCCCAAGATGGATGCTGATGAAGCGTCTCGCCTCTTCGTTAAAAAGACCTTTGGTTTCCACGTGAGTGAATGTATGTCGTCTACCCTTTTTTTTTTTTTTTTTTTTTTTTTTTTTTCATCCACCAACGTGTGCACGTACGGCTTCTCTCGTGTACACTCTACTCCAATACTCCGTAAGGGAACACGAGAGGAAAAGAGAGCCCTTGATGGCTCCTTCGCGAAATCCACATACGTGTATAGAGAAGGTGCAGGCGAGCACCGCACGTGTACGTGTCTGGAAACGTGTGTAGTATACGCATACGGTACGAAGCGCGTGGGCCCAAGGACGCAGATAAAAATCACTCGCCCACGCCCACCGGCACAGCCTACGTTTCGCGAGAAATTATGCTTTCACAAGTCCATGCGAGGGGGTGAGCGATTGATGATGATTTTTTTTTTTTTTTTTTTCAAAGCTTTGCTTTTTCTGCGAAATGAAACAAAGTTTGATGTGGTCGTACGGATTTTTTTTATTCACCCTTTCGTAGAACTCTTTGTCAATTGCGTACAGCGAATTTTGTTTCGATTCACAATTTTCGAGTA